CTTGCAATCGCGAGAATTTGCAGCTGTACGGCAGCATGATGGGATGGCGCTCGTCGTACTTTAACGAGGCCGAGGCGGAATACCGGCCGCCGGAGCGAATGACTCCCTGCTGGTGCATGAACGGATTTAGGTATTTGGATGTACACCAGCACCCTGAGCGCTCTCCCGAGATCGGAGAACCTATCGAGGAAATCATGCATTTTGGGCAATGTCAGGAAATGTGCCCGTATAATGTGCTGCTCGAGGGTGGTGTCCTGAGGTACCTGTTCGGACACGGGCCAACTCTCCCGTGGCGTCTGGAGCCAGGTCGGTCCGTGCCACCACAGGCTGCTATCCGACAACTCATGCGGGGAAACGCCTCAGCTTGCGAGGTCAACGGGGCTGTGCTCGGAGCGCACGTGCAGCCAATCCTTTACATCTGTGGATTGGGCGATCCTGGATACGCGATTCGCCACAAAGGTGGTCCAACTGTACGCTGGCTTGCGCAGTCAGGCCAACACGATGGTGGCCTTCAGCACCTCCCTTCTGGTAAAGGAGGACTTCTCTTCTAGGTCGGATGCGATGAAATGGAACTCGTCATCGGTGGCTTGCCAGCGGATGCCCAGCGTCTTGGTCATGTTGGCATCTTCAATGTCCAGAAAATCGGCTTGCAGCAAATGATCTGGTGGTATGACCCGGAGGACATCCTTGTTATTGGCGACCCACTTGCGCAATGGAAAACCTGCTGCGCTGAAAGCCGCTCGGAACTCTCATATGGATGAGAGTGCGTATGGGCTCCGGCTCGGACGTCATCGACGTACATGAAATCCTTGAGGATCCGGCTGGCGAGCGGATACTGCGCTTTGGAGTCCTCGGCAAGCTGCAAGAGGACGCGGATAGCCAGGGAAGGCGCACTGTTCACCCCGAAAGTGACCTTGTTGAGGTCATAATCACGCAAGTCACCGGCTGGATTGCGGAACAAAATCCTCTGGAAACGGGTATGTGCAGGGTTGTCCACGATCTGCCGATACATCTTGGTGATGTTAGCACTGAAGACGTGCTGGAAAAAACGCCACTTTAACACCTAAAAGGTCAGGTCGGCCTGTAGGACGGGCCCCAGGTGCAGCACGTCGTTCAAGCTGTTCCCGTTGGATGACGGGCAGGAGGCGTTGAAGACTACGCGGACCTTGGTCGTGGTGCTATCTGGCTTCAGCACCGCGTGGTGGGGCAGGTAAAAGTTAGCGTCGCCCGTTGAAGCAGGGACCGGGCGTATTTGCCCTAAATCCAAATACTCTTGGATAACTGCGTCATACTGCTCCTTCAATGGAGCGTCCTACGCAGTCAAGCTTCATTTTTTAGGAACTGGGCCATCGCGATGGATCTTGAATGGCCTAACTTAATGTCCTGGGGGTCCTTGAAAGGCAGAGAGACCTTGTATCTCCCGTCCTGCTGCCGGTTGGTGGTCTGGATAAAAAACCGTTCGCAAACTGCTTCCGCTTCTTTCTCGCAGCACACCGGAATATCCTCCACCTCCTTAGTACTCGTGACAATGAGTTCGCCGCTGCCGCGAGATGTCGCACGGGCTGGAAGGAGTGCCAACAGGAGTATTAGCAAGCTGCTGGGAGTCGTGGACCGACCAGGTATGTATATATTTCAGGGTTGTTAGTTAGTATGAATATGTGTCAGTGTAAATATAAGCATATGTATGTGAGTATAGTTATTGTGGATGTAAGATATAAATGAGCGCATGCAGACGAATGTAGCATATGTGGACGTATGTTTATTGTGGATGGACAAAATATATGTGTATATATATGTAAGCATAGGCGGACGTATGTTCATTGTGGATTGACAAAATATATGTGTATATATATGAAAGCATATGCGGACGTATGTTTATTGTGGGTGCAAACGTATAGTGCAAGTTTATATTTGGCGAATATTTCTTGTGTGAGGAAACATGCAAGTAAATAGGTATGACAAAAATGTGTCTGTTGTATTTGGAAACATGCAAGTGTTTATGTAGAAAATGTGTGTGCTGTTTTATAAAAAACCATGCAAGTGTATTTTTATGTTCCCTCTGTGTGACGGTGTATGTGACAGTGAAAAGAAATAGTTCTGTTTTAACTGGACACTTGTTGCATGTATGGATAAAGGGACGGAAAGCGGGATGCTGATTCCGTGGTGGGGATCGGCGGACAGACCAACAAAGAAACCAAAAAATGGCGTGAGTATCAAGCCGCAAGTAAGTTTTTACTTAGCTGTTTTCTGCTTTCTGGAATCCAACGCCAGGAGTAGGCTGGAGCGAACGGACGGCGACTGCACAGAACGTGGAATGACTCAGTGGTGCAGAACAAAAGATCCGGCTTGAAGGACAATGTTGGCGTGGGGCGATGGAGATTAAATTCCAAAATCCCAAAAGCAAGGAATTAGACGGCGGCAACTCAATTTTCAATGGTACGTGCACTTGTGCTTATATTCATTTGCTATCATGTACTAACTTAACCTAATTACATTCGTATAGGCTCAACTAACAAGTGTGGGAGGATGCTGACGCCGGCAGCGCTCTGCTAGCCTACTACGAGTGTTGCTAGCAGAGCGTTGCCACTTCAACACTAACTAAAAAGAAAAGCGAAAAAATCAATGCGGGCAATTGTGAAATTCTTTTAGATACGTTATTGTCTTATTCAATACATTGACAATTCAATACATTCGTCAACAAAACTGACACCATATGAATTATTCTTTGGCAGACCTTTTTCCAATATCCCATTCCCAAAATTCACCCAATGCCATGTTACAGTACTTAGAAAATGAACAACAAAACAATTGCAACATTCTTATTCCACTTAGCATTACTATTGCGCAATTCATGTACTAAGTTAAGACATACATTTGTGTTAGTGATAAGGCAACAAAATTAAACATTTAAATTTATAAAATGTGACAAAATTTTGACGCGAATTTTATAATTAAACATACGGGCATGATACAAACAGCGACGTTAAATATCGAGCCAGGGAAACTGGAAACAACCGGCCAAGTTGCAAATCGAACTTTAATACTACATTTTAACAGATACAGTGTCAACAAATAATGACAACTTGAACTTATGTCGTATAGACAAAAAAAGGTTACCAAGCTTTAACCAAATAATCAACCAGGGTAAATGACTAGTTGCCCAATGAATAATATAAGACACTACCAACACAAGTCGTAATTAATCTCTATGTATATAAAACAGTTTATCCTGACTGACTGACTGACTGACTGACTGATTGGCAATCAACGCACAGCCCAAACGGTAAGAGCTAGGAAGCTGAAATTTGGACACAAGATCCCTCTTATAGTGAAAGTGAGCACTAAGAAGAGGTTTCGGAAAATTCGAGCTCCAAAAGGGGGAAAACGAGCTCCAACGTTTGTATGAAAAATCTACAATTTTTATCCGATTAACTTCAAACTTAGTTTGTATACTCTCAAAAAGAATACAAAAAAAACTGTATACTTGGTTTTTCACCATTTTAAAATGTGAGACACTAATGTGTGAATGTCCATACATATGTGCACATCTATGTATGTACATATGTATCTACATATGTATGTATGTACATTCGTCTTGCACTGACAGAGCAAGAAATGTTAATTAATTGAAAATTATATAACATTTTTAAAAGTAATTTTTTCTTTGTTTAGTACATTTGGCATTAGGGTTTTCATTAATAACTTTATACAGCAACAACAAATATCAAATAGTTGGGGACATCACATACACACACTCACACACACAACAAGCAACAGTTCGTGTCTATATGTGCGGTTGTCTACGTACGTTTGAAAAAGTAAGTAAAGTATGTATGTATGCCTGTGTATGAATATAGTATGTATGTACATTCGTATTAATGTATACATTGGGCAATCGAACACAGTTGTTTGATTGTAAAAAAAATAATGCTCTAAAAACAACAACAACTGCAAGTCATTGGCTCGCTCTTCTTCTTTCGTTTTGACCATTTAATATTAATTGCAAAGGCAAAACGCCAAAAGTCTACAGTTACCGTCGCTAGGCAACGACTGCGTAAGCGATAGTAAAGCAGAAACCGAATAACGGAGCTACGCATATTCTGCTTCGCATTGCGGGCAGATGTATGTATGTATATGATTTGTTCTTATTGATCTCAATAAGTAATTAGATTTTATTATTTAAATATTCTGCTTATTGCATTCAAACTTCGATATTTTGATGGTATCGGTGGCTTCAACTATCGAAAGTTTTACAAAGTTTTAGCAAATTGAGATGAAAATTGTCAGTGCTTTTTAATCGTGGCTCATCGCTGCACGGCATTGACACGAGTGCCGTGTTTCATATTCCGAGTTTGTGCGTGACCGTATTGACTCAATATGGCACGAAAAGACTCAAATGTGAAAGATGAAATTTGGACTCAAGTATCGTTTCATAGTATCCATCATAGTGTAGGAGCACACTAAGAAAGGCTTTTGGAAAATTCTAGCCCCAAAGGGGGGAAAATGAGAACGGCCGTTGCCGTTGCCCCCCCTAGAAAATTTTTTTCCATATAAAGTCGACCACACGTTCATTATTATGACGCACTATTTCGCCTTAAGATGGATCTGCGTTGGATTTGTTGAAGTTTTTTCATCGATCATATGCATAAATTATTTTTTAAATGCATCGGGCATTATTTAATCAAAATTTTCATTTTTTGGCCCCCCCTTTGGTAAAAGCTGGGTACGCCCTTGCCTGCTAGTAAATAATAAATAAATTCGGTCATTGCAACTTCACTTCCGGTGCCACTATGTTCGTACCAACTCGCCCATAGAATAAGTTACAATTGAGAATACCTATCAATAAATCAGTCAACGAACCTGAGTGGTCGTGCTTTACTTGCTTTTCGTATTCACGAACATAGCTCGCATAGTTCATACTTGTATTCTCCTTAAATAATTTGTTTACCTAACAAAATACCATAAGTCAACGTATTTATCCTCATTATTTTCAATTTCAGCTACAAGTTGAGCACTCTCGACGTGGATTTTGGGATAGTTCGGTTCTTTATAACATATCAAGTTTACAAGATATGTATCCGATTGTGAGTAAATACTTCAAATTTTAAAGTGTAGAAAATAATGGCCTAACATGCATATAATCACATTATACTTGTATAAGTTTTTATTTGGGAAAAATACATCCTTTTTTAAGTTTTCCATAAATGTATGTTTATTTCTACATTCAAATTGACGAGTTAGTTTTATACCTTTGTTAAGTCATTTGATTCCATTAATTTGATCGGTATTAAGCATTTAACATTTTTAATTAAATATCTATATTTGTATTGCTCTGCAGTCTAAGTTTCAAGATGTACGCATTGAAAATGATATAGAAGTGGCGATCGTCACAGGTAAAAAGGTTGTATCGTTGTATTTGTTATTTTGGTTAATGGCTGTTAAATTAAAAGTTTGAACCTGCGTTCTAAGAGTTTTGTGATCGATCATATCGCGTCGTAATCCAGATATTAACCAAATTGCGTCTACTTTTTTCTATGACATTTTCATTTCCGTTTTCGATTTCTGAAAACTCTACCTCAATTAGGCCTCCATAGTTGAAAATACTGAGTTGCCAAATCGTAGTGTATCTTGAGCGCCGATGTGCTTAGAACCTTAAATAGCTTTGTAATTTTGTAAATTTTACAAGTATTCCTTCTTTTTATACTCTGTCGATCTATGTCTGTCTGTTACGCTATACGAGTTTGTTTTATTTTTTATTTTCCCCCCCTTTTCCCCCCTATGAGGGATTTTCGGAAACGCCGGTCCTATAATCACCTACACTGGTCGGCACAATTATTTTGACGAACTGTACTCACGACTATCGGTGCTGGTTGCTTTTAGTTTCAAGGAATAACGGTACAATTTTCATACGGGATATAGAGTTCATAGCAACAACAATATGTAGGCAAAATATTTTGTCTATTACTCTTCACACCTTCTTTCTACAAATGACAATGTGAGTTGACTGCGGATTCAGGCACGGCATAAGTATTTTGACCAAATCTTTGTCGCCGTTTTCGCGTACGTTTTATCAAGAGATACTAAAATAACTTTGGTGTAACAATTTTTGTTGACCTTTTTACATTATTTTCATTAAAATTTGATTCAAAAGTAATCGATAGAATGGTAAAAAAGACAGAATTAAGTTATGTTGTTAGAGCCTCAATAGTGGCGAAGTTTAATGCCGGCGTAGCACCAAAAGACATTGCAAATGAATATAATTTGTCGCGGCAAACAGTCCACTATCAAATTAACAAATATAAGACCCACAATCACGTCAAAAACTTGCCTAGATCAGGTGCTAACCGCAAAACAACACCCATTGAAGATCGAGTCCTATTGCGGGAATTTAAAAAAAATATTCATTTAAAGCCGTAAGCTGCTGCAGATCAATGGAATAAGTCGACCAAGACTCCAATCAGTGAGCGTACTGTTCGGCGACGCCTAAAAGAAGAAGATTTTAAGGCATACAAAGCGAAGGACATACCTTACATATCAAAGGTGAACAAGCTCAAAAGATTGGCTTTTGCAAAGGAGCATCTGCATAAGCCAAAAGAGTTTTGGAGAAGCGTTCTATGGACAGATGAAAGCTCCTTTGAATATAATTCATCAAAAACAAAGATTTTTGTAAGGCTCCCACAGTTTCAAAGACAAAAAAATATCCCCGTATGTCAAAAAGTGAGCCATGGCGGAGGCTCAGTCATGTTCTGGGGATGCATTGCGTACAATGGGTTAGGTGATTTCGTTCCCATCACCGGCTCAATGAACCAGCAACAATATTTGAGTACCCTTAACGAAAACGCATTCCCTTCCGGTGACAGGCTGATTGGAGAATCATTTATCCTGCAACAGGATAACGCCCCATGCCACAAAAGCAAAATGATAAGAGCATTTTTAACCGATGTTGGTGTTACTACTCTGGATTGGCCACCACAAAGTCCGGACTTAAACGTTATTGAGAATGTGTGGTCTCTTGTAAAACGTAAAAGAAATGCGTCTTTGCATAAAACCGAAGAAGAAACTATTTCCGAGGTCACTTCTCTTTGGAAGAGATACCATTAGAGGTCCTTCCAAATTTAGTGGACTCAGTTCCAAGACGTCTTCAAAAAGTTATCGAAGCCAAAGGCGGGTATACATTTTATTAATCTACCATCAATTTCTTATGTTTTGTTTAGTATTAAGCTTTGTTTTTTTTTGTTAATATCCATTGTCAAAATACTTATGCCAACCCATGAAAATTACCTTGATTTATAATTTTAAAAGTTCTTATAAAAATATATCCTTTGAATTATTTTTAAGTTTGTAATACCAATATGGAATTGAGAAAAAAAGTTTCCTTTGATATCTTAAACCAATAACCAGTTATTGACAAAAATGTATGATTTTCTTCTCGTCAAAATAATTGTGCCGACCAGTGTATATCTCGGAGATTATAAGACCCAGAAGCACCAAAATTTAGTCCAAGATGCCTTTTGTGAATACGCATAAAATGTGCATTTTGGAATTTCCCTCCCTCCCTCCTGTCCCCCGCAATCACTGATCTTCCGTAATTCTTGGAATTTCGAACTCAAAATTTGCAAAACTTGCCAGTTATTATGTGTCCTTATGCTTAGTTTTATTATGATAGACCGATTTAACAGGAAGTTATAGCCATTAATATAATTGCTGCCCAAGCGCTACCCCTGCTGTTGTTGATGTTGGTGCTTTGGCTTACTGCTAACATGCTTACAAAAACACGATTAGACACGTATAGACATGCATACACTCGCACAGGCGCAATTGCTATGTAAATGTGCAATATGCACCCTTTACGTGAGTTCGAATATCAAGAGTGGTAAAATCGATCAAAATTTTTTTTAAATTTAAGAGTATATTAGGTTTGCGGGAGCTGAAAATGTAACAGGCAGAAAGAGGCGTGGCAGGCCCCACAAAGTATATATATTCTTGATCAGGGTGACAAGCCGAGTAGATAGCCATGTCCGCCTGTCCGTCTGTATGAGCGCAAGGATCTCAGAAGGTACCAGAGCTAGAATAACCAACCTCGGTATCCAAATTCCCATAAGCCCTAGGCAGGTCAAGTTTTTTTTTTATTCTGATACACCCCCCCCCCCCCCCGCACTCCACTACAATTCGTGTTTTTTCCATAACTCCCGTAGTTTTTGGAATTTCGAACTAAAACTTGGTAACTACGTTAGTGATTATGTGTCTGTATGCCAAGTTTCATCATGATAGGTCAATTCTGAAGAAAGTTATAGCCATAAATAAAATCGCTGCCCACGCTGCTTATAGCGCTGTTGTTGTTGCTGCTTTGGTTCAACTTTGTGCTGCATACATACACGCATATAAACACGCAGAGACACGATTCTGATGTAAATGTATGCTGTTGAAACTGTACATGAACATGTCTTTAATTTATTTAAATAATTTAATTAATATATTTTTTTTAACCGGTACCCAAAGGGTGAAAGGCTATACTAGTTTTGTGCGCATGTATGTAACACACAGAAGGAGGCGTGGCAGACCCCACAAAGTATATATATTCTTGATCAAGGTGACAAGTCGAGTCGATATAGCCATGTCCGTCTGTCCGTCCGTCTGGACGAGCGCAAGGATCTCAGGAAGTACAAGAGCTAGAATAACCAAACTTGGTATCGCGGTTTTTATTCTGATACACTCCCCACTCCAATTCGTGTTCTTTCTTATAATTCCGTAATTCTTGGAATTTTAAAACCAGTTTTTGTAGTTACATCCTGTTAGTGCATATGTGTCCGTATGCCAAGTTTCATCATGATTGGTCATTTATAAGGACGTTTTTAAGCCAATGTAGATTAATGGCTTTTAGTTTCAGTTTAGGGTAAAGGTGACATGTTTGCACTTTTGCTCGTTTACATGAATGCGCCAGTCTGTTAGCCATTCTTCTATGGCCACGAGGTGAGATGGTAAGACTTCTGTAGCTCTTGTTGGGCACTTGGAGCGACTTACGATGGTGATCATCAGCAAATGTCGAATGACTGTTTGTAAGTATATCTACTGTGTATATGATATGCAGTATCGGTCGAAGCACACTCCCTTGGGGTACACCAGCGGAGCGGCCGCATTATGTATTTTACTTATAAACTCAGCTCTGTTGGCAGCGAGAGCGCGAGGGAGAATGTTATATGCACTTGAGGTGGCTGACACTAGTTGCACTGACGCTGCACGTATTTCGCCCAATGCATGTGCGATCATATTACATCGCGTCCGAATTATGCTTGGCTTTTTGAATTAATTTATTCACTGCAATAAAGTGTTACAGTGTGTGTTCTTAAGAGTGCACTGCGTACAGTGTGTACTCCTTATGTATGCACACTACATCTCCCTCCTTTTGAAAAATAACGTAATATTATGAAGTTATTTTCTAAATTATTTATCTATTAATTTCATGTATATCTAGTTATGAAATATGTTTATATGTTTATGATTTGTTTCTTATTAATCTATTTGTTTTGTTTGTTTAATAATGTTTCCAAAGAGAAAATTGATATATGTACTTGTATGTATATACTTATTTGTATGTATAAATTTTTATTTTTATCTTATTTTTATTTTATTGATTTATAAATATATATATATATATATATATTTTTTTTTTTTTTTTTTTCGATGGAATAATAGAAAATTGATGTATATTTTTTATTTATTTATTGATATTTATATATATTTATGCTTGTGTATAGCTATAGTTCAAGTTACGAATTAAAAATCTTTACCTATGCTTATGTACTGTTTCTTTTTTGTCTTAATTATTTGATATTGTTATGTTATTATTTTCTTCTACTTTTTCTACCTTATATGGTCCTTTATATTTAAAATCTATCTTGTGACCTGTTTCATTTTTCAATAGAACCTGGTCTCCTATTTTTAACTTCAAATCTAAACTATTCTTGTCATAACTAATTTTCTGTTTATGTTTATTTGACTCTAGCATTAATCTTGCTCTTTTCAAAGTTTGTTCTATCCTAAACTTAGATTCCTTAGCATAATCTTCTATATTGTAAATTGGTTC